TTAATTTGCCTCATATAGTGTTTAATAAATCAAAGAGCAGCCCCTGTCTCACACCTGCCTAGAGAAACCCCCTTTCAATTCTGTGGCTCTTTCTCCTGATATTTGTCTCCGTTTTTAAAATGCCATGCATGGTCACACTGCTTTTCGGACTTAGATATTATTTAAGGACTTCTTATTATGGAAGATGAGGACTTGGGTACTTCACACACCCCCAAGTATCTTCCTGTGAAGCAAATATTTCCCTAATCCCCGGCATGAGAGCCAGAGCCCAGCCTCTGAGGGCCAGGACAGCTGAAGCAGCGACAACACTTGACCGCGGAGTGCGGATTAGTGCTCCAGAGGCATGCGCGCGCCGCAGCTGCATTCTCCCAAGACCACGGAGAGATTATCCCTGTCTATCTGCGAAGATGCTAATCACACTGCAAAATGACTGTGGAATTCTGCGGCAGGAAATAGGCCACCAGGGTTCAATGGACCAAATCCTCTCAGCAGGAATTTAGAAAACTGTCCATGAAATGCGGGTAAGACGCAGGGTATCTCTGGTTCTCTACACCCCATTTTCTCTGCTCCCACTGGCCGACCCCACAGCAATAACCCCCTATCTTACCTGCGCCAAATCCTCTTGCCTCAGGCCTCAACCGCAGAGATGTGGGAGGAAGTCAGTCCTACGTCAGAGAGCAAACCAGCTCAGCTTTATCCACGGAGCTGCACTGTTTTTGCCAGTTGCCCAAAGTACAACAGACGGGACGGACTTCTGCTCTCTCAGCTCTGTCCCAAGAATCCCCAGCTCTCAAGTAAAACTGACCCTCAGCAATGCCAAAAACTCCCTTGCCATCGAATGCTAACTTGTTTTCCGCTGTTGATGTTTTATATTCTTTGCAGTTTTTAGCTGACGAATTTGTACCAAACGGCCCTGACACTGGGATACCTAAAAGCATCCACATTAAATACTGGGCACCTTTGTAACTGAGCCCCCTCCCCTACCCCATGGAATCGCCGGGGCTGGCGGGAGCAGGACTGCAGGATGAGAGGCCTAAGTACCCAAGGCTCGTGCTGAGCAGTGACGCTGGCTGGCAGCTCAGCTCTGGATGGCAGCAAACAGCCAGAGTGTCACCCAGCCCTGCTGAGACGCCCCTAAAATCATCCACCTATAGAGTCTTGAGGATAACAATAAAGCAAGAGAGTGAAAACACAGGATTATTGCCTACTATACCTGGGTTGCAGAATTCCCACTTACTGAGCACAGAGCAAAACTACTGTCAATTTATAGAGACGACAATGATGAGTTGCCTGCTTATAATCGAATTGGATAAAGATTTATTCAGTCAGCAAATAAAATATGAATGGGAATAAAAAAGGACAGGTGTTCAAGTGGCAAGTGAGAAAGGAAAAAATACTATGGAATTTTCTTTTTTTTAAAATATTTCAGAGGGGCCGGCACTGTGGCGCAGTGGGTTAATGCATTAGCAGGGAGCTGGATAGGAAGTGAAGCAGCCACTACTTGAACCAGTGCCCATATGGGATGCCAACGTTGCAGATAGGGGCTTAACCCACTGTGCCACAAAGCTGGCCCCCAATATGGGCATTTTAGCCATTAGGCTAACGGCCTATCCCTGCTATGGGATTTTAAAGGAGAAATAACAATTCTAACTAGGTAAGGGAGAAATATGTGGAAACATACATGGAACAAACAGAACCAAAGTCAGAAGGAGCAGCCTCTGTGGGGGAGCTTCAGGCAGTGACCTGGGCAGGGACGGAGTAGGCAGGCCCCAGGCCGGGTCAGAGAACTGGGACGGACAGTGGAAGAAGGCTGCAGAGGCGACAGTGCTGGTGACTGGCGCGAGTGTCCGGGAAGAGTGTTTCCAGGATTGCCACAGGGTGTCATGCTCCCGAGACGCCGGGGAGACCCTGTGAGTGGGGGAAGGAAAGCCGAGACGGCTCGGCTCCACTGCGCGGCTGTAGGGGGTGCCCCTTCCTCCAGGCTCTACTTCCCAATGAGAACATCGGCTCATGAACTGACCACAACATGCTGTTGTCCTCTTGGGCCCAAGGGACCCCCTCCAAGAGGGCAGCCTGCGGCTCCAGTGGCAGGAACAGGAAGGCTGGCCCCCGGCTTCACTTCCCTGGCTCTGGGTTTCAGTCTCATTTACTCTCTAAAGATAGCAAGTCCAATGGCAGGGAGAGCTCCCGAACAAATGGGGCCCGGGGTGTGATCCCCGCTGCCCACTTTTCCATGGGGTGTGCGTCTGCTGGTCGATGGCTGCTGTCAACGGGTCCTTGGTGGTGCACAAATAGAGCACAGGCAATGGACCATGTGCGTCAGGGCCCTGGAAGTGGACACTTCTCCCAGGAAGTCTCTGAGCGTGTGGAAGCAGAAGGCTGTTTCTACACTTTCTTCCAGGCCCTCAGCGTCACCCCGGAGCAGCCTGTGGACGCGAGGACGGATCCAGGAGGGGTTCTGCCTCCACCCTCGCTCAGTCCTATAAATCACTCCTGGTAGGTAGCTGGAAAGCAGCTGCGGGGCCCACTTTGCTCCGCAGCACAGGAAGCCACCTTTTAACCCGCCTGCTGTTGTTTGTCTCCCGAAACGTGACAAAAGAACAGATGTAAGCAGCGTGCCAACTGTTGAGAGGCTCTGCTCGGAGCCCGGTAGGAAGCCCGCTCAGAGCCCCAGCACACCAGCCGCTCCAAGGACGCAGGGCTGAGTTCACTTCCTGAAACCCTCACATCCACTCTGTTCACACTGCAGTGGGATGCACAGAGCTCAGGCAGCCACCCTCTCACACCCCTACCCCTGCCTTTGCCCCGGGGGGCTCCCCATTCTCCAGGGACCCTGCCTCTCCACTCCAGTGGTCCAGCCTCCCCTCTTGTGAGGCCCATCTGCCTCCAAGTCCCTTCCTCTAGTCCAGACTTTGCCTGGCTTGGGCCAGTCCCGAAGCCTCCCATGCATCATGTACATCTCTGCAAACCAGCCTGTAACGTCCTACAGGGCTGAAGCCAGGGTCACCTTATCTCTGTGTGACCAAAGCAGTGCTTCTCAGACCGCTAGATGCGAGCCATGGGTGCACTGGGAAACAAGCGTAATGGGTGACACCTAGTATTTTAAAACATGAGATAAAAACTAGCTTATAAAAGACATCGTTAGGAGAACTGGGGAACTAAGAGGTGGACAGGAGATGACATTATGAGATTCTTATTAATTTTCTTAGGGACGGTAATAGCATTTTGGTTGTATAGTAGAATAAAAAATGTTTTTATTGGACTTTATTTTCTGGAGAGTGGGAGGTATCCAAATAACCTGTACACTCGGCCCCACATTTGTCATAATCGACGGAGATACACAGGCACATCATCACCACCTAAGGGCTTCCACCCACAAAGATCTCACACTTGGTGGGTCAGGACAAAAATGCAATGGCGCACTTTCCCACTCAAGTAGCACCGAGTAGTTTTACTGCCCTAAAATTCTTCTGTGAATGCCTTACTTTTGAAATATGTGTGTGAAGTTCTGACAGGAGACACTTTCAAACAGGTCAGCAAAACAATAAATAAATAAATAAATAAATAAATAAATAAATAAAGCGTGCATGTGTGTGTAGGCCCCTAACAAGCAGAGAAGTCAAGCCATCTGTTTAATGTTATAACTGCTGAAGCTAGTTGTACCGTATGCAGGCAGTCACTGAATTATTCTGGGTGTGTGAAAAGTTTCATGATTAAAAAAACGAAACAGAAAAAAAGAAAAAAATTCAGAAAGCAGAGCATGAAGTACGGTTTGGTGTGGGGCATCTACTGATTTGTGTGTGTCCTGGTCGCAAAGCAAATGCAGTTCTTACTGTGGGTCATGGCCCTGCACTTGAAAATGCTGCCTGATAGCAACTTGCTGCTGTGAGCACACAGCAGGCGGGCAATGAACTGTTTGTTAATTAACTTCTAGAAGCACAGATTTACACAGAGAAGCAAGCCGAGAAATCAGTTTGTTACCCGTTCCATCCCGTTAACTTGGGCTGTGTCAAAACATCTAAGCCCTCTTGGGCCCTACACACTTGAGCCTCACCTCAACTGGGCTTTAGGCCTTTCTTATCAGACGTTCAGCTACGCCCGGGAGGGTAACACGCCCTCCATGCCACGGCGTGTGTTAACGCAAGACTCCAAGAAGGGTGACCAACTGTCCTGGTTGGTCTGGGATTGAGATGCTTCTCAGGACTAGGGACTTGTGTTGCTAAAACTGGGACAGCCCCTGGCAAACCAGGGCAGCTGGTCATCCTAAATTTAAGAGTGGATTAAAAATATGTATTTTTATTTGAGAGGCAGAGAGATTGAGCGAGAACTCTCATCTACTGTTCTACTACCCAAATGCCTACAATGGCTGGGGGACACAAGCCGGGAGCCGGGAACCCAACTACTTGAGCCGTCACTGCCGCCTTGCAGGGTCTGTATCAGCAGGACCTGGATTCGAGGCGGAGCTGATCTCCAACCCAGGTACGTCAGTATCAGGTGTGAGTGAACCAACAACTAGGCCAAATGCCAGCCCCGACAGAAGATTTTGAAGGAACCCTTGACAGATCCAGGAGAGCCGACGCCGTTGTGCTGTGTTGTGGATGTTACCACCGCAGCATGACAAACAGGAGCAAATATAGTGCAAGAAAAATTGTGATAAAGGGGCCAGCGGGTTCAGCTGGTTAAGCTGCCACCTTGTATGAGTGCCAGCTGGGGTACTGGCTGCTTCATTTCCCATCCAGCTCCCTGCTAACATGCCTGGAAAAATGGTGGGAGATGGCCAAAGTAGTTGGGCCCCTGCACCCACGTGGGAGACCCAGATGAAACTCCTGGCTCCTGGCTTCAGCCTGGCCCAGCCCAGCCCTGACCATTGCAGCCATTTAGGGAGTGAACCAGAAGATACATGATCTCTCTCTAAATCTTTCAAAAAATAATAAATAATCCCAACCTTTCTTTGAGTATCCATGAACTAATCCAGAAAGAAGAGGACAAAGGCAACTTACTGTAAAGACATCATCGTCACCAAGCTCAGCTTCATTATGGATGGTAGAAGATGAAGTCGTGGAGCCTAAGAAGACAAAATGTAATAACAAGTGTTTCCAAAGAGGGTAAGTCAAACCCATCCATTCAAAAATGCGTTTTAATAAAAACCACATTCCATTCTTTTTGCATCTTTCACCAGGAGAAACCAGTGATTTGGGAATAAAGTGCTTTTAATTTATTCTTCTTTAAATGGCTCTTGCCAGGATGCTCCTTAAATTAACTCAGCCTACTACCGTGTTCCCTATTAATGCCTTCAACTTTGTCACTGGTCACTGGTGAACAAGCGCCTAGGAGGTTCCCAGAGCGGGAGAAAAGAGAGCCTGCATCCCACCCAGGCTGCACAGTGACCTTGAGGGAGGTACAAGCAGTGTGGAGGGGGCCGGGAAGGCCCATGTTAGATCTGCCCTAATCTCACTGCTCAGCTGGATGGGGCTTCTGGGGGCTTCTCAGCCAGTGAGGAGGTTCTGAGTAACTGGCTGTGTGGTCACCCTTGTTTTGAATTCAGACACCATCCTCCAAATGCCAGACTGCAGGAGCCTCCTGCCTCAGGGACACTTCTCTCGTGACAGCAGAGCACCAGTGAACTTTCCTTACTTTGCTTCATCAAAATTAAGGCTCCTATTAGAAAACCCAGCGAATTCCATCATGGGATGAACTGGTCCTTAAAGTTCAACTTATGCATTTGTTCACCTCTTCATTCTACGTATCAGCAGAACTGTCTCATTTTCCTCCCTAAGAGCACCTCCTAAAGTGTCGATCAATTAAACTGATCCAAAGAAAACACATTTACGTTTACGTAAGTGATAGATACAGGATAATGGGATTTGTTCCCCATCTTTTCCTTTCTGTGGTCAGGGGTTTTCAAATGTGCTTTTGGAAAATGTTTTGCCATTACATACAATTGAAATTATAAGAGCGGCAGAGGAAGGGGTGACAAACACTTCAAGTTCTCAAGAGGGACTGCAGGAGGAAAGATAACCATCCCAGCTGCTGCCACGCACGCCTGCTAACGTTCAGGATTTTCTCTACTTTCCGGTTTCCCCCAGTCAATGTTTAGGGCAGGTTTACCAGAAAACAGTTAGACTGACTGAATATGGAGAAGGTAAGCACAAACAGGAGAATCAAATTTTATGCACAACTTCAGTGATTAAGTACATAGATAGCAAACTTCTATGGGTAATACAGAAGCTATTTTGTCTAAATGCTTAAAAAGCTATGCTTTAAAAAAAAGAATTTGCCACTTCAGTCTTTTTGGCTATCTCACGGCTGTTGTAAACAGATTCACATTCCAGCTAGAATCGTCCTACTACTGATGACAATGTTATGTGATTTTTCCTCTTAAGATCTGCCCTTCTCCCTTCTCGTAAATGAAGAAAACGACTTTGGGACACTTAATTTATAAACAAATCAAACACCTATTCTTGTGACTGAGTTCCCCAAATTCTGAACTTGGCATTAACGTTCTTCACTCAACAATTACGACACCTTCAACTCTCTGATTTGGGTGTGAAGTGGAGTTGCTGGGTGTCTCCTACCTGTGGACTGCAGCCAAGCCCACCATGAAAACTGCCCCAGGGTCTTCCTGGCCATGCCTCCGACCCACTCACAGAGTAGGCTGCAGACCACAGCCCCTTTCACAGTGGCAGCCACCCACCAGGACCTTCGAGTGCAAGGGGTCCGTGGGCAGGCCCAGAGCATCCTGGGATAGCCCGAATCCATCCTCGGGCATGGCAGACTGGACAGCTTTTTAAAAGATGAGACCTTTTAAAAAAGCTGTCTCAACAGTCAGAACAAAGTGAAATCAGGCAAAAATTCATTTGTGTGGAAACCCAAAATGCACCCACTTGCTTGTTCAGAACAGACTCTACCATAAAACCACCTCCCATTGGTCTCCATTGCTGCTCTAATGACCTCCTTGGACTTCTGAAAGCTTTGGCACCTACTGACCTGGCCCCAGATCCTCCTCAAGTAAACCACAAACATAAGCTGGCAGACAGCTGGAATCAGAAAGAACGAAGACATTTGCACAGACCACTAAGCCCCACTAAGAGTTCAGTACCTTCTATAAGGTCTTCGATTGCTTTCCTCACTCCCCTGTCAAAGGCGCGAGCATCGGCAGGGCTCTGGAAAGTAAGTCCAAACTTCCTGTTATCGACTTTCCAATGATGAAACGTTGGGTTGGCTTTGGTGTAGACCAAGTCCTTTCTTACGTAGCATTCCAGTACCACCTGCAGGATTGAAGCACACAGGCTGGTTACTCGTGGGCCAGCCACAGCGGGGTCTGCTTATACCAGTCCAATGAGGAGCCCTCCCAGGAGGCAGCTGAAAAAACCCCCTCCCTGCCTCTGCACCGGTGCAGCCTCTGCCCTTGGCTTTCGTGATCCTCACAGCGGGGCCGTCCTCCTCCGTGCCCCTCCTCTTCATCCCACCCCTTCTTCTTCCTCCTGCCCTGACTATTTGTCCTGTTCTGGACTCCTCCTTCCAGGTTAGGGCCTTTGTAAATTTGATGGCCCTCAATCTCCCCTCTGCTGTCCTAATGGGTGCCTCCCTGTGACCTCAAATTCGAAAAGCTGAAAAATGCATCTGCTCTGAAATTTCTGCTACTGGTTTTCTCTCCTGTCTTGTCCTGAGCTGGCAACGGCAACCCCACTGTGTCTGGCTCGAACTCTCTATGGTACCTTTGCCTCCTCTGAGTTCTCCATCCTCTGCATGATTAACTGTCAAGTCCAAGTCATTTTTCCTCCAGTATCTGTTATATCAACCTCATTCCAGGTGTGATCACCTTGATCTAGGTGCCCATTAACTTTATAAGAGTACTAGAAGATGCCCCAAGTTTCTAACAATGTGGTTTCAAAACTAGTTTTCCAGGCTGATCTTTTCACCTCTAGATCAAGATGCCTTTGAAAAATACTCTTGACCAAGACCCTTGATCTTTTTTAGCTCTGAGATGGAAACAACACCAAAGTCATCAGTGAGAACTTTAACATTTCTCTGAATTAACAAGGGTCTTAGCAAGGTCACACTCATTTCGCCATCAGGTTCTACTCTTGTGTTACTCTGTGGTCTTTCTTGTTACCTTCACAGCTTAGTGCCTGCTTTCAAATTATTCTTTATCAGAAGTTTCATGCCCCTTTAGTCTTATTCCCCTAACTAGACTATAAAGGACCAAGGTGTGTTATACGGTAACTGTGTCTAGTGGTGCTATTGTTGATAAAGATACCAGAGTTCATTTAATGCCAGAGTAAAAGCAGCATTGCAATCATGTGAACATAAAGTTCCTTCTTTATTAATATAAGAAGAAAACTGGGGCCTGCACTGTGGTGCAGCAGGTTAAAGCCCTGGCTTGAAGCGCCAGCATCCCATACGGGCGCCAGTTCGAGTCCTGGCTGCTCCTTTTCTGATCCAGCTCTCTGCTATGGCCCAGGAAAGTAGTGGAAGATGGCCCAAGTCCTTGGGCCCCTGCACCCACGTGGGAGACCCCGAAGAAGCTCCTGGCTCCTGCCTTTGGATCGGCGTAGCTCTGGCTGTTGTGGCCATCTGGGGAGTGAACCAGCGGATGGAAGACCTCTCTTTCTGCCTCTACTTCTCTCTGTGTTACAGAGGGAGAGAAGAGAGAGAGAGAGGTCCTCCATCCACTGGTTCACTCCCTAATTGGCCTTAACGGCTGGAGCTGCCCCGAGCTGAAGCCAGGAGCCAGGAGCCTCCTCTGGGTCTCCCACGAGAGCACAGGGGCCCAAGGACTTGGGCCATCCTCCACTGCCTTCCCAGGCCACAGCAGAGATCTGGACCGGAAGTGGAGCAGCTAGGTCTGGAACCAGCACCCACATGGGATGCTGGAGCCTCAGGCCAAGGCGTTAACCTGCTGGGCCACAGCACCAGCTCCAATTAAAAAAACCTTAAAAAAAAAAAGAAAAAGAAGCAAACTCTTTGCAAAGATTCAAATATTCGCAAGGCTTCATGCTTTGATAATTAAAGAAACAAACAAGCCATTATGTCCCATCATCCTTCATATAGGACAAGTATAAAGACTTAAACTGAGCAACAAATATACCACTTATACTAAGAAATAAATACTATGTCACTGAAATATTCACAGAATTAAAAACTTGGGATTTTTTTTTGGACAGGCAGAGTGGACAGTGAGAGACAGAGAGAAAGGTCTTCCTTTGCAGTTGGTTCACCCTCCAATGGCCGCCATGGCTGGCGCGCTGCGGCAGGTGCACTGAGCTGATCCGAAGGCAGGAGCCAGGTACTTCTCCTGGTCTCCCATGGGGTGCAGGGCCCAAGGACTTGGGCCATCCTCCACTGCACTCCCGGGCCACAGCAGAGAGCTGGCCTGGAAGAGGGGCAACCGGGACAGAATCCGGCGCCCCGACCGGGACTAGAACTGGTGTGCCAGCACCGCAAAGCGGAGGATTAGCCTTTTGAGTCACGGTGCCGGCCTAAAACTTGGGACTTAATGAGTTAAATAATTTGAGGCAGAGGGACAAAGAATGAGATAGAGACAGAAAGCTCCCTTCCTCTGGTTCACTTCCCAAAAGGCCAGGAGCTGGGAATTTAATCCACATTTCCCACATGGCGGCAGGAACCCAATTACTGGAGCCATCAACGCTGCTTTTCAGCGTCTGCACCAGCAGGAAGCTGGAGACAGGAAGCAGAGATGGGAATCAAACTCGGGTACTTCAGGGTGGGATGAGGCTAACAACCTGCTGTGGTCTGGCTAAGCTTTTAGGATCTCCATCTCGTTCTGGCAAAGCTTCACTTTTGATACAAGGGGCTCTTATTAATTTAGACCAAATGAAGGGTAACAATAAAGGCCTGTCTAAATTAGTATACGTTTAAATTAGGGAATATCATTAAACGAGTACAAATTTCAAGAACACATCAAACTGAAAAGAACTTAAATGCTGTCTAGTAAATGTTCCTTAACTTAATAAAAGAGAATAATGTTCAAATTGGTATATACAATGGCAGTCCCAAGCAGTTAACTTCATTACATTGTATTGCAATAGGACAACAATCCCCTCACACAATTCTATTTATGATTAAATTGCTTATTATGGCCATTTTCCCCTAAGAATAGTGCAATGATTAAATGTCAGCCCAGCCCCATTCCAAATTGGGGAAATCCAAATAACCAAGGCTTTAACTAACAAATGTTATCTATTTTAGAATTTAATAGTCTCAATTCAAAGTCTCAAAATAAACTTTTTGTGAAAACAAAGACTACTTAGCTTCTTCATATTTTTAGGGTGGAAAAAAATTAAGTTGTTGCTTGACATTTTCCAACTTTAAAATTATTCCAAAGGTGTATTTTCTTTAAAAAGTGTTAAGGAAAGTGAGTTTAGTCACCTAAATTAAGTAAAGGGCAGGGAAATGAGATACAATCTTTTTATGTCCTCTTGAGCAAAATATCATCATGTATCTAAGTTTAACAACAAAAGGGAAAAAGTTGAGAGGCTTCAATATTCACAACCCTCTCGGGCAGTTTTGGCGTATACACAATTAGGCATTGTCTTGAAACTTGACAAAGGCTTTTAAAAATACCATTTAAAGGGGTCTGGCACTATGTGTAGTGGATAAAGCTGCCCCCTGCAATGCTAGCATCCCAGATGGGCGCCAGTTCATGTCCCGGCTGCTCCACTTCCCCATCCGCCTCCCTGCTATGGCCTGGGAAAGCAGGGGAAGACGACCCAAATGCTTGAATCCCTGTACCCACGAAGGAGACCCAGAAGAAGCTCCTGGATCCTGGCTTTGGATCAGGCCAGCTTTGGCTGTTGCAACTATATGGGAAGTGAACCAGTGGATGGAAGACCTTTCTGTCTGTAACTCTACCTCTCAAATAAATAAAATCTTTTTCATTTTTTAAAGTATGAATTAAAATAAGAAGCATGGGGAGGAAAAGAAGTGTGGTTAGATGCTTGTTGGAAGTGTTGAAGTCAACACAAAAATACATACTGTAAAAGATTCCAGTAATTTAGATGAACACAGGAGAGCTCCACTGTCCCTTACCCCCCCTCCCCCAATCCAGGGTCAATGTGGCGGGCACAGCTCCAGTCCCCGCTGTAGCTCCTTTATCCACACACCTAAGTATGTGTGTCGAAACCTAGTCAGACCTATATACTGCTTTGCATTTCCTTTAATCTTCCCTAAAGACATATCCTGGAGATACAGGAAGGTAAAAACCATCCTGTTTGATGGCTGTAGAGTATTCCTCAGTACAGACACAACAGATTTAGTCAACCGCTTCCTACACAGATGGGCATTGAGAATTTGTAAGTGGCCACATGTTTGCAGACAGCACTTCAGTTTACATCTTTGTACATTAATAGTTCTCAAAAGTTTGGTCTGCGGGCTCCTGGGAGCCTTCTCCCCGCCCCAGACCCTTTCAGAGTCCAGAATGGGAAAACGGCTTTCATGATCATGACGAGGCATCATAGCCTTTTCTCTGCGTCGAGATGTCTGTTGTACAAAAGGAATGGTGAGTGAGCCCACCGTGCCCCAGCAAATGGCCACAATGGCTGGAGCTGATCCGATTCAAGAACTGGAGCCAGGAGCTTCTTCAGGGTCTCCCACATGGGTACAAGGGTCCAAAGACTTGGGCCATCTTCTACTGCTTTCCCAGGCCATAGCAGAGAGCTGGTTCCGAAGGGAAGCAGTCAGGACTAGAACCAGTGCCCATATGGAATGCTGGCACTGCAAGTGGAGGCTTAGCCCACTATGCCACAGCACAGTCTTCAGATTTTTGACCATCACATGGTTTAATAAAAAATGCCAGCTTCATTTAAGAATGTCTTTGAGGAAGCAAAAAAATTTATTATATCTTGACCTTTGAGTACACATCTTTTATTTGGTGTGACAAAATGGGAAGTACACACAACTGATTCTCATATCTGCTTCTGCACAAATGCACAGCTGGAGAGGAGGAGGGTATTCTAACAGCCTTTCCACTGCTGCTGCAGGTGGCAGACAGACAACTCTCTCAAGAAAAAAGACTCGGGTGTCAGCTGAACTACGTGGATCAACATTTTTACTTGAAAGAATGACTGACCAGCTATGGATATTCAGACTTGGGTAACTGGCAGACATTTCTTAAAAATGAAGAAAGTAAGCTTTCAATTCAAGGAAAACAAGTGGAAGCATTTGTTGCCAATAATAAAATTTGAACTTTCAAGTGAAAATGAGGATTTTGGACAGCTTCCCCGTACTTAAAACTTTTCTAATGAGATCAGTGGTGATCATTAAGAAATGTGAATTTTTGATATTGTAGAATAAAATGTGTCAACATTTGGAAGATCTGCTTAACTCAGTAAACCATTATTTTCCAGATGACTAATGCATGATGTTACAAAATCAGCCATGAGTCAAAGATCTACTCAAAGTGAAAGATAAACCAGGGGATTTTAATGTAACAGAGTATGAAAAGTTCATGGCTATGGTTTCAGATTCCTCATTTAAGAAAGTACTATAGGTTGAGTTTTGGTGTAGTATCAAAGAATAATAATCATCTGAAAAGCTATGAAAATACTTTTCTCTCTTCCAAATTACTTATCTATATGAGGCTGGATTTTTTTTCTCCATAATTTCAACAAAAATTAACATTACAACAGATTAACAGCTGGAGTAAGTATTAGAATCAGCTATTATCTATGAGATATTAGAGCTCTCCAAAAGTGTAAAAGCAACACAATTCTTCTCATGAACTACTTTTGTTCTAGAAAATTATATAGTTATTTACATTAAAATGTCATTTATATTAACAGTATTGTTTAAGAGTTTTTTTTAATTCAGCTTTAATTTCTAATGCTGTAAATATTAATAGCTGTAACTCACCAATACAAAAGCTCTTAAGGTCTTTAATGCATTTTTAAGAGTATAAAGGGATCCCAAGACAGAAAATATGTTGATGAGCTGTTGCTGTCCATAAATCTTATGAACAGGGGTGCTTCTAAAAGCTCATAGAAAATGGAATTAGAAGGTAAGTTTATTTTGATGCAAAAAAAAATGTGTGGGGCAGGCATTGTGGCGCAGGTTGAGCTTTGCATTCTGTATCAGGTCTCCACAGCTTCTGACCCAGCTTCCTGCCAACGCAACCCGGGAGGCAACAGATGTTGGCTCAAGTGCTTGGGTCCCTGCCACCCATGAGAGAGACCCAGATGGAGTTCCAGGTTCCCGACTTCGGCTTGGCCCAGCCCCAGCTGCTGCAGGCATTTGGGGAGTAAACCAGTAGATACACGATCTCTTTCTGTCCTGGCTCCCCCCTGTCCCTCCCCCTATCACTCTACCTTTCAAATAAGCAAATCTTTAAAAACTTCAGTGTACGTTAAAATTTTCATAATATATATATTTTCATGAACTTTTTGAAGACCCCCTCATATAACTGTTAAAGGTATAGACATTCAAACTGAAAATCCTGCCAACTTGCCCTTCAAAGAGCTTCCCCAGCTCAAGTCCTACCAATGTTATGTGAGAATCCTCACTACAGTGAGCAGTGACAGGAAGGACCCACCTGTTAGATGCTGTGATTAATCTTCCTAAGGTGGTTTCTCACAGGATTTAAGACATAAGCTCTTCCTACCCACCAAACGCCACACTCAACTCAGAGCATTTACATGTACTTTCTCAGGAAAGCTTTATGGTCCAACTTTCCAAAAATCACCTGAGTACCTTGTGAATGCAGCCTAGGCCTTCCCCACAGCAACCACGCTGGTGGAGTTCACAGGCCTCGGCATGCATTCAAAACAAAGCAAAATCAGGCACTGAATCCCAGGTCTGGACTATGCTGGGAAATCTGGTAACATCACCATTTCTATCAGAAAGGCACCGCATGCCCGCACTGGGATACTGACAACTGTGACAGCAGGCGCCCTGTGTATCCTAAAACTGGTCTCCACCCTGTGTGGGCCATTCCACTTCTGAGAGAGGGGCTGCCTCAACACCCACCCCCTGTACAAGCTCCCTGTGGGCTCACGCCCTCCAGTGGGCAGAAGTACTACATTTCAGAGGCTTTAGAGGCCAAAGGAAGGAGTGACTGTTTCCTCCAAAGGTGTGGTGGTGTGTGTGTATGTGTGGGTGAGCCCAGGATGCTCCAGAGTGTGGAACAGCCAATGCAGGGATGCACAGATGAAGGACCGCTGGGTGGACGGTGTGTGGCTGAAGGACTGGTGGATATGAAAGTCCGGAAGGGGACACGAGGAGGGACGGAGAGATGGAGAGACATGCCGGGGTAAGTGGGATCCTTGGACAGCAGCAACAGATAGCAGGAGCTGGGCCCCAACCCCATGAGGTGGCCTGAGGGCTGGGACTGCCCTATCAGTATGTAGAGTTAGAATGAAGGGGCTGACTGGGCTTTGGCATCACAAAGAAATACGTGAGTGCCGGCTCGGCCACACCAAGTAAGTGGACGCCTTCTCGGAGCACTGAGTTTCCCCACTCCAGTGTGGAGATGACAGTGTCTTCTCCTTCAGAATGCTGCAGGGTTTAACTGAGGACACTTATGTAAAGGGCATCAAACAAGGCAGTCAAGTTCATAATTATGTGCAAGTCACTGGTGAGACACAGTTTGCAAAATTAAAGGACTAGATCAGACGATCTAAAGGTCCACGTTAGGCTGAAATATTCTGATAAACCACAAAATGCCAGGACAAATACCTCCAAAAATATAGAACCTATAGCTAATACACTTCCAGAGCAAATAATTTGCTAACGCAGAATATCTATAAAAACGAAAAGGGAGTAAAGTGAAAAAAATTCTATCAAAATTTTGTAGAGTAAGAGCTTTAACTGAAATCAAAAGGGGTAGATTGTGAAAATGTTACGATAAAACATGGCAGATGCAGATCAATATATTTACTGTTTAAGGAGGCACACATACCAAGGAGAAAAATAAGGCCCCAGTAGGTAAATATGTAAAGGACACTAATAGAAAATTCACTGACAACTGTTTTATAAACAAAAACATCTGATCTCATTAGTAAGCAAAAATGAGATGCTACCCTAACAAATCGGTAGATTTAAAATATATGACCTTCAATGTGTGAAAGGCAATTCTCACACGCGCTGGCAGCAGCCCTTTGTACATGCAACAAAAGTCATGAAAATCTGACCCCCACCCAGCCCATGGGGCCAGTGCTGCGGTGCAGTAGGTTAAGCCTCTGCTTGCAGTGCCAGCATCCCATATGGACACCGGTTCATATCCCAGCTGCTCCTCTTCCAATCCAGTTCTCTGCTAATGGCCTGGGAAAGCCATGTTTGGGCCCTTGAATCTGCGTGGGAGACATGGAAGAAATTCCTAGCTTCAGACTGGCCCAGCTCCAGCCATTTGGGGGAGTGAACCAGCGGGTGGAAGACCTCTTTCCATGTCTCTCTTTCTCTCTCTCTCTGTAACTCTGCCTCTCAAATAAATAAATAAAGGAAAGAAAATCTGGCCCCCCAAATTTTTCCAAAAAACAGTAAATGGGGAAAATGCAGGTAAATGTCTATTCATAATACTGAGGGCAGGGATAAGGGGAGAAAGGAAATGGAAATGTCTTCTGAGAATGCTAGGGCAGAACCAATGGGATACGAAACTGTTCATGATGATAGCTATATAAAAATAAGAATAGGTACAAGGAAAAACTACATCCAAGGGCTAAGGTGGTTGTGCACATGTGACTCTGCCTTGTTTTTGGATTCAGAGTGTCAAATATTGGTTCCGGGGCCCCAAAATGAGTCACAGCCAACAAAGCATCTTTCTGAATCTCTGAAGGTTACTGTAAGGATACAATGACACAAATTAACCATACGCACTTAGCACGTGGTAAATGCTAGATAAACAGGTAGTTATTTTACTTTTTGGTAGTGTAGTTATATTGCCCTTCTTGCAAAAATGTTATAAACAAGAACGTTTTCACTACTGGACTATGAAAAGGAATGTCATGAATAGAAACTTATAAAATTAGCTTTTTTCTCCCTCTGAATTTCCAGAAATGAATCAAGTATGAGTCAGCGTTTCTGTCTATTCATATGTAACACTCACAAACTGCGCTTCCCTATTGTAACTTTCTCAAGCTATAATAAATGGCTGCAGAGGATTACAAGCATACACTTGACACTTAAACTCAACCGGTGCCACTGTGAGTCTCAGATGGAACAGCAACATCCCCTGTGGTGTCTGTGAGATCCTGTACAATCTTGTGCATTCCGATTCATTAATGGCTTCTGAATACATACTAATGATTTAATAAAGATAGGACAGTGTCCTTCCACGTTTACAGCCATTAATTTAAAATAGCTTTGGGCATGTGAGGTTTTTTTTTTTTTTCCCTTCATGGATTCCTTCATGACAAAGAACCGGACAGCCCAAGTCCTTTATGCGAATGTCCTTCTACTCTTGGGAGATCATGATTACACTCCAATTTACTCATAAGCATGTATAATTATTTATAGAAGTATGAAAGCGCTACCTTTTGTTACTGTCTTTTTCCAAGCATGGGTTACTCATTAGCTTATGAGATTAACGCTACAGTGTCTTTCAGATAAACACTCATTTACTAGCAGTCAATGTCAGGTGACCTCCTGCCCTTCCATTTTACCATTCACCATCCAAGCCTTAATGGCGTGCTCTATGAATAAGCCCTACAGTTTTAAAAATCGAATGCACAGCTCAGAAAATCTGATTCATAATAAAGCTTACAGTTTTGTTGCGAATTTCTTCCATGACAGACTTCTTGATTAATCAGAGATGTAAGCGACACAGCCACATAACACTTTTAAGTGTCTGGGTTATGTGGTGTGCAGGCAAAAGATACTTTGCTGGATGGAAAAGGAGGGCTATGTTTTGCAATTTGGCACCAGCTCCTGGGTTCTAACTTTTGAAGTTTTAGCAAGAGTTTGAAGTCAGGGAAAGAAGGAGAGGGAAAAATGAAACAACGCCTAATGGGATAGGGCTACAGTTGAAGGTAGGCAAGTCAGCCACAGGTAATGTAACCCACGCGCGTGTGTCTGCCATTACCAGTTTGTCTTTCTGTCGTTCACCATGGATGAGAAAGCCGCTTCGTCCACTGCCTTCGGGGTGCATGACCTTACACACCCCGACGCGACTGATCCCGCCTCCTTCCTGTGGGAACCATCCCCCGCTGGAGTCATCTCTGGTCATAACCACAGCCTTGACACGCACAATATAGCTGTCACTAAAACGACAACAAGAAGAATGGGGCATGACAATGGTCTGGCAGCCGCGGAACATGTTTCACAATGCAAGAAGACCACCAGCTAGCACCGTTCTGGACTTGTCCAAAAAAAATCTGTGCCGGGCAGCAACCACAGGGGCCCACCTCAATGTTTAGGGCTACAACAAAAACATTTAAATTCAATATAAAAGTACATTTACAAAAAGAAAACTAGTAATTAAAGTTCCTGAAGATGTCTGCAGGTAATACAATCTCTATACTGGGTGTGTTAATGAAATGAGCTGATCTTTATAATTTGGTATCTGTAAGCTGGAAGACAAATCTGTTAACAGAGTAGTATGGTTTCAAGCCTTTAAACTCAGCTTGTAACATTATGTAAAGTTAATAATCTTAATATATTTTTAAAGTTTTTCATCTTATTTAACACAGGATACAATCATCTACTTCCGAGTCACAAATTCATCACGTACTCATTTATGTAGGTGGGAAAATATTTCAATTCAAACAAGTTTTTAGACAACTGTAGCCTTCTGTTTATGATTTTATTTTTTCCAGTCTAAAATTTCAATTTTGCAATCAGTTCTTTGGCATATTTGCCAAAACTCTTTTCTCCTCCAGAGACCAACTCGAGCTTCTTTTCATTCTTCATCACTTTTTTTGGGAAATTTATTTGGATTTCCAGCAAGGCCATTAAATTCTCCCTTGCTGTTTTCTTCCTTGGGATAGAAATTTTTTTACTTAAACATATATTCACATCTTGTAAGTGCCAGGCACTGTGCCAGATTCCAGGGTAACAAAGACACAGAAGAACCCAGATTCCTGTTCTTCAGCCCGGTGCAATCTGCCCGAGACCACGGAGACAGTCCCTCTGCCCCACAGCCCTGCTCACCCCAGTCACTCCCCACTGTGGCCCAACTCCCCCTGTACTGTGAATCCAGGACTCAAGGTCTCTTACGTCCCCCATTACTTCCCCATTCTCTCCCCTACTCCTTTTATTTATTTATTTCAAATAAGGCTAGTAATTTAATGAATTATTTATTTATTTATTTGAGGGGGGGGGGAGAATTTGTCCATTTGTCAGTTTATTCCCCAAATGCCCTCAACAGCAGGGGCTGGACCAGGCCAAGGCAAGAAGACTAGAACTCCTGGGTCTCCCATGTGGCTAACCCAAGTACTTGAACCATGATCTGCTGCCTCCCACGGTGTGCATTAGCAGGAAGCTGGATGGGAAGCAGAGTGGGGACCTGAACCCAGATACTGTTGGGTCAAACAATCACCCCAAATCCTTTTTATTTTGGAAGACTGTGGTAACACATACATAACATAAAATTTATTATTTTAACAATTCCTCGTCAGTGACAAGAAGTATATTCACACTATTGTGCAATCACCCATATCCAGCCCCAGAACTTCATCACTCATCCCAGACTGATGCACAATGCACACATTCAACACTGTTCTCTCCCCCTCCTCCAGCTCAGCCCCCAGCAACCACCATTCTGCTTTCAGGAATCTGACTCCTCTAAGCCCCTCACAGAATGCCCTTCTGTTTCCTTAGCCTAAATAAAAGGTGCTCTTGGCTGAGCCTCCGTGGCCCATTCTCACAGGCTGCTCTCCCTCCTGTTTGGTACTCGCCAGCTGAGATGTGGGGTGGGACACTTACTGTGGCTGTCCCTCCAGTTCAAGTTCACACACGTGACCAGGCTCTCCACTACCCTCAATATTCTTCAAGCACTTTTATCCTGCTCCCCGCCGTGTCCTTACCTGATACTCTACCCAACTCAAGTTCCATGGTCTATCATGAACTCCTTTGCCCTCTCTCTCCTCACTCTAATTGCCTGGCACAACTCAACCTACTAAATCCTACCCTCTGCCTTCTCCACTTAGGCTGCTGAACATGATCAGACAAAGTCCATCTCCACCATGCTCCTAAGCCCTGTCTTAAAATTCATAACCACTAACCTCAAGTGGGTCCTTAGGTGCTACATGGCATCCTGCTACCATTTTCCCAATCCATCCCCAAGAAGACTGCTCTTATAATGAGAGACACATGAATGAACACTGGCATCTGTCCCCATTCTCTTTACAACAGCGCCCTGGACCTCTTGTAACTCTCACCTGGCTTGCTCTGAAACATGGATATTTGCCCTCCAGGACATAAACTCCCAGGAGCAGGCTTGGTGCTTTAGGTTCATTTAATACATATTCCTAGTGCCTAGAAAAGTGCCTGACACATAAAAGGTTGTGGAGTGAAAGGGTTAAATACACAATATAAACAGGTTTAAAAATTATCTGTAGCTAACAGAACCCCTGCTGTTGCTGTTGTTTTTTAAGTGCTCAGTAGTCATTTGCTTATGAACTGCACAGCTTAATTGGGATAGCTGTGAAGGTTCTCTTTTCATTAACAGGAAAACTGAATAAAAACCACAGGCCGCACAAGCACACCATCCAGAATCCAATCACCGCCATGGCCATGCATGTGAGCTCCTAGGGGTTAATCATGAATACTTGGCCGGCGCCGCCACACCGGGTTCTAGTCCTGGTCGGGGTGCCAGATTCTGTCCTGGTTGCCCCTCTTCCAGGCCAGCTCTCTGCTGTGGCCCGGGAGTGCAGTGCTTGGGCCCTGCACCCCATGGGAGACCAGGATAAGTACCTGGTTCCTGGCTTCAGTGTGCCAGCCGCAGCGGCCATTGGGGGGTGAACCAACGGAAAAGGAAGACCTTTCTCTCTGTCTCTCTCTCTCTCTCACTGTCCACTCTGCCTGTCAAAAAAAAAAAAAAAATCATGAATACTTTATAACATTTGTTTGGATCACTGCACAAACAATTGTGGAGAATGACCTGGTTTTCCCCCCTACACCCCATTTATCCCAGAAAAGCGAAGGGCCCCCAGTGTGCAAGGCCGCTCTGCGGTAGGGGTACTCTGGGCTCATCTCCACAGGAAACGGCCAGGGTGAGGGGCTGCAACTCTAGACCCCTCTCGGGCAAACGTGCTTTTACTTTCCTCCGGCCGCAGCTGTGTGCTCTGCTCTCTTCCTTTGAGGGGATTAAGTAAACATGAAAAAGGGAAGTTTGCATTACTTAGGTTAGTGCCATAACGTGATTTCCAAAAAAGAACTCATTTATTAGAGATGTAAAAGGGGACCCCCTGCCACCCCTCTGCTTCTGTTCACTGTGGCCTCTGCAGGCGTTATGTTCTGCGCCATCTCCTTCCAGCCCGGATTCCTCCTCTCCGGCGCCTCCCCCATGACCGCTGCGTGGGTGGGGGAGCTGGGGGTGCAGAAGCCACCCTTAACTGCAGCATCTGGCTATTTCAAACGAGGCTGGGGGATGAAGCACTGTACCGAGAGCTGTCGAATAACCCAGCTGCGGGGGGCCCGCACCCAGCTGCTTCCTACTGGGGCGCATCGCCCCGCCCCACCCCGAACAGAAATGACAATAAACTCCACCACCAGAAGGTATAAGGAGGAAAACTCCCTTCCCACCTTCCCTCCCCCTCTTTCTGGAAAGAATTAAACAACATCTGCTTAAAACAGATGCAGGGGTGGGGTGAGGGGACGGAGCAGGAAGGACAGGGCAAGTTTGTTTTTTTAAAATGTGTACAGGGAAATTGCTGCAGGTATGTCTTAGGAAAAATTCCAAAAACATGCTAAATATTGTCAAAAATAACAAAATAATAGCAACTTAGGAAAGACTTCTGAAACTGGAAACTGCTGCCCCAGTGGTGGGGACCTGGTGACGCTCCAGCCGTGGGTCCAAACACCAACTGGTTGGAGATGCCGCATCCGGACTTGAGCTGAGCTGTTCCAATCAGTGTCATCATAAATGGTGCTGGACAACCTGACGTCCAATGGGACCATATTCTTTTCTTTTTTTAAAGAGTTATTTATTTATTTGAGTCAGAGTTACACAGAGAGGAGAGGCAGAGAGAGAGAGAGGTCTTCCATCTGCTGGTTCACTCCCCAACTGGCCGCAATGGCTGGAGCTGAGCCGATCTGAAGCCAGGAGCCAGGAGCTTCTTCCAGGACTCCCATGCAGGTGAAGGGGCCCAAGGACTTGGGCCATCTTCTACTGCTTTCCCAGGCCATAGCAGAGAACTGGATTGGAAATGGAGCAGCCGGGACTCAAACCAGCACCCATGTGAGATGCCAGCACCGGAGGCAGCAGCTCTACCCACTACGCCGGCCTCTGGTACCCTATTCTTTAGGTGAACTATGAGTAAAACTGGCCAGAGATCTGCTGTTGAAATGAAGATCCTTGAAGGAAAAAGCTTTGTGTTCCCAATATGTGGTCTTATCCTGAGGTCACTTGATCTCCTGGAGAGTCTGAGTCCAAGTCCTGGCTCTACTCCTAGTCCAGCTTTCTGTAAATGTGCACCCGGGGAGGCAGCAGGTGATGGCTCAAGTCATTAGGTTTCACTGGGTTCCGGGCACTCAGTGTGGGAGACTCAGCTGAGTTCCCGGTTCTGACTCTGGCTTGTCCCACCCCCTGGCTGTTATGGGGCATCTAAGGAGTGAACCAGTAGATGGGAGCGCTCTGTCTCTCTGCCTCCCAGATAAATACATTTAAAAAACGAAACAGTGCGGACTGTATCTCCTGAGGAACGCGTGCTTCTCAGGCAGGTGCAGCACAAGTGTCCCACCTCTCTTTAGCTGAGCAGCCTCTCCCTGAGCTTTAGCTTCTTCCTTTGCAGGATGAAGAGCGGATGGGACCTTGCTGTTTAAAATAAAAGCAGTTATGGAGCAGGTGTTTGGCACAGCAGGTAAGACACTCCTGGGTTCTGGTTCTGGCTCCACTCCTCAGTTCCAGCTTCCTACTGATGTATACCCTGGGAGCAGCAGGTGATGACTCAAGTGGCTGAGTCCCTGCCACCCATGTGGAAGACTCACAATGAGTTTTGGGCTCTAGGCTTCAGCCTGGCCCATCATCAGCCGTTGCAAGCATTTGGGGAGTGAACCAGTGAATGTAAGATCTCTGTCTCTGGGGTCGGTGCTGTGGCAT